CTGTAGTTAGGTTCAAACCTGGGTTTGTGTATGAAAGACGTCAACGTCATGATATGTCTTCAGATGGGCCCTCGGACAATCCTATTCCAACATCTGAATCTAATAATGTATCTCCACCTCTTCACAAGTTAACCCATGCATCTCGTCCTCCTATTCGATAAGGATATTCACCTGGTCATTATGCCTTTCCATTTACATCTTTGGTTATTACATTATCTTCAATTTCTATACTTTCTTGCTATAATCATGCTGTGAAAAATGAGTGTTGGCAGAAAGCTATGCAGGAGGAAATAGATGCTCTTGAAGTGAATCAAACATGGGACATTGTTCCTTTCCCATTGTCTATAATACACATTGGCTATAAGTGGGTTTATTCAGTTAAGCTTCGTTCTGATGGTTCCTTGGATAGTTATAAGGTAAGATTTGTGGCTTTAGACAACTACCAAGAATATGATATTGACTATGATGAAACATTTGCTCAAGTAGCCAAAATGACCACAGTTCGAACGATTCTTGCTATCGATGCCTCACAGAGTTGGTCTCTTCATCAAATGGATGTTAAAAATGTTTTCCTTCATGAGGACCTTAAAGAAGATATTTATATGTGTCTTCCTCCTGGTGTGGTTGGTTTTTCTCCTACAGATGTATGCCATTTAAAACAGTCTCTGTATAGACTAAAACAAGCACCTCAAGCGTGGTTTGAAAAGTTTCGACAAACATTTGTCAAACTTTCTTTTGTGCAAAACCAGTATGATCCTTCAATGTTTCTTTGCACAACGACATCTTCTGGTATTGTTGTCCTTCTTGTCTAAGTGGATGATATAATTATTACCGACATCGATTTCACTTTGATTGATCAGCTTCGACAATCTCTTCATGTTTCATTTCATATAAAAGATCTTGGACCTCTCACATATTTTTTGGGTTTAGAAGTGCAAAAATTTGCTAAAGGTCTCTTCCTAAATCAACAGAAGTATATTAAAGACCTTATTGGCAAGATTACAAAATTCAACTCCTGTTGATACTCTATTGGAAGTTAACGTCAAGTATCAATATGAAGATCCTACCTTATATCAAAAATTTGTAAGTAGTCTTATTTACCTAATTATTACTCGACCTGACATCTCATATGTTGTCCAACAAGTGAGTCAATTTATGTCTTCTCCTCGACATCTCCATATGATTGTTGTTCATTTCATCATTCGATATCTTATTTGTACTTTGATGGTGTATTATTTTTTCCTATTGTATCTCATCTTGATCTGGTTGCCTACAGTGATGCTGATTAGGTGGAATGTTCTAACACATGTCGTTCAACAACTGATTGTTGCATGTATCTTGGTCAGACTTTGATTTATTGGAAGTTCAAAAAAAGAAGGGTGTCTAAATCTTTCACTGAAGCTGAATATTGTGCTTTGTCATTACTTGCTCTGAAATTATTTGGTTGCATGGATTACTATCTGAACTTGGATTTTCTCAATCCCTTCCCACACCTGTACATGCAGATAATACTAGTGCTATTCAAATTGTAGCCAATTCTGTTTTTCATGAACGGACAAAGTGTATTGAGGTGGATTGTCACGCAATTTGTAAATTCTTTGACAATCAAATCATTTTTCTCCCATACATTTCCACTAATGTTTAGGTTGCTGATGTCTTTACCAAAGCTTTAACTCGTTAACGACATCAATTTTTTGTGAACAAATTGTTGCTGGTTAATGTACCAACATCAATTTGAGGGGGGATGTCAAAAACAATTGTCAAACTTACCATATCACTAATATTCATTGTTGTAAATAGAGACGTGACATGATATTCTTTTCATTCTTAGAAGATATCATAGATGTAGGATATGTAGAATAGGGATCTTAATTGATTCAGTTAAGCTATAAAGTAGACATATTGCTGTAATCTTGGGATGTAATATTCTATTTAAGGAGAAGAGCTCTGACCATGAGTTGACAGAATTTTCCAACAACTCGTGTTCTTGTTTTAACATTTCAGAGATGAAAATGAAGCAACACATGAGCTAGCAAGATGGGAGCTACGCCTCAAGCACACAGGTGCCCTTCCTGATCTCCAACTTCCAAACGCAATTACAGAAGCAATGACTAGATAAATACCCATTTAGGTTTTTTTTTTTTAGGAATTAAATTCTCTATACTCTCTACTTAACGTTTTCCCAAAAAAAAAAAAAAGAGGGATTGGTTGACGAAAAATTATTTTTCTTTCTCTATGGTTCCGGACAACCTTTCCAATATTGTTTTTGCTTGGTTTCTCATTTTTGTTTGTGAAAACTCATCCGTTCAATTTCGTTACCTCTTTTCTCCGATTTATCAGACCACTTCAATCTCTCCTTTATGGTAAGCGATCTATTATGTCCATGTGAATACTGTGTTGTTCACCATCTACATAGTTTACATCAATTTGCTCTTATAGTTTGTTAACTTTGGTAAATTGACGATAGTATTAGTGGGTTATTAGATTGTAATTTCTAAATGGGTTTTGATAAATGATTATTGACTGATGGTACCACGAAATATCTAAGGATGAGATCAGTTCCCTAGGTCAGCCAACTTTGGAGCTCAGCTCGTCAGTATCACATGTGGACCTCAACTCCCTGTATCCATACCTCACGAAAGTTTGTTTAAAGGACAATTGGATCTCACCAAATCCCCCATCTTTCTGGTGTCAATCACCCAACTGGCGTAAGACTCGTTGCACAATAAGGGGAAATAGTTACAGCTAAGGGACGAGAATCTCGTCCCAGATCAAGTAAACCCTAGGGACATCTATAAATAAGAGGCAAAATCCTCAAAAAAAAAAAGATATAGTCATTGTAGCCTAGCAAAGTATTCTCTGCAAACCACACGCCATTGATTAATATATTCAGGAACACGAGACTTTTTTGAGAGTAGATTAGCTGAGCTCCGGAGCTGATAAACCACTATATATACTCTATGTGACCCCTACTTATTAAAAGATTCTATTCCCAAGAGCTTTTGAACTCAGACTGAACAAAATCACACCGCTCAGTACACTTTGAATCCACCTCACTACTCAATCGAGTTAAGAACATCATCACTGACAAATTAATGATAGTCTTAGCAGATTATGTCATGCATTATTGCGTACGATTTGATCTTGATGTGTTTGGTCAATGATTTATGAATTTGTTGTTTGATAAAGATATGGTTTAGAACAATCTATAATTTAAAATAGGGTAGACTTCAATAAATTTATTCGATGGTCTCAAATAAATTAATCTAACGGTTATTAACATCTCTCTCAAAATCATTCATATTAAACCATGCTTATATGCACAAATTATCCTTAGTTTAGGTTAATGGAGACCAAGATTTGCATCTTGGAAAAGTTCTGAATGAAAGAAAGGTTGGGCCTTGTTGCATTGCGCTCTTACAGATTTGAGTTCTATTCGTTATTGGCTCAGTGCAATTTAATGGTCCAGGGACAATAATCTAAAAGCTAAGTTTTGGGGATTTTTTAAGCTTCTGGATATTTGTTCTCTTTTGATTTTTTCTTTGTTCATTTAATCGAATTGAAACAATTTCGTAGACATAAGCTGATTTGCCATTTTTTTGGTCACTTTACTCTTAGCATCTCTAATCTTTACCCTTTTTCAAATTAATATTTAATTTTGGATAAAAAATTTCTAAAAATATTCTCCAATCTTATACCTAAATTCATATTAAATTAAGAGAGACTTAAACCAAATATTTAATAGTGAGATTTTACCATCTTTTAATAATTCAATGATCATATTTTATCCCTTTAAATTTGAATTTATACTCATTTAAATTTGAGTTTCTTCGTTGAAGAGATTTATATTAAATCAAACTTAATTTTTACCCCTTTTAATTCAAATTTGGGTAAGAGTTAGGTTTTTATTGGAGATGATTATCTACAAAATCATAGATTGAGATTTAAATTTTAATTTGCATAAGAAAAATACTAAATAGATTTTAAAAACTGACTTAAAATATATTATTAAATTAAATAGATAATAAGTCTCGATAAATATCGGGATGCGTAGTTAAATCAATGATAAATACTGTATTCAAAGTCTGAATAACATTACTTTTTGCATAAACAAACGGCTAGTGATGTAAATTTTTCAACCTTTCAGTTGTGGGAAGAAAACAGAATTACAAGAAACTTTGTTGGGGCTAATCGTAGTTAAACAAAAGACAAAAGGACACCCGGGAATTCTAATTCCTTGTGTTAGAATCAATTCCATCACCTAGAATCCAATTCCCTCAATCAATTTTGTTTTAGAATTCTGTAGTCAGAAGAAAGTTTTGTGGAGGCTAATCATAGTTAAGAAAAAGTAGAAGGATTCCAGGAAATCTAATTCCTATTGTTAAGAATTCCAACAGAATCCAATTCCCTCCAACCAATTCACTTCACCAGCGCTCGTCAGCCCAGCTGAGATAGAGAGATGACGATGATGATGATGATGATGATGATGATGATGATGATGATGATGGAGACAGACAAAGGAGAAGTTTCTTTGACAGAGAACAAGCTTCATGTACAGAATGATCGCTTCAGAAAACGGAAAAAAAATGAGCATAGCTATATCATGATGTGAAAAAAATGAGTTGGAAAGCAATTTCTTAATTGAAAAAAAAGAAAGAAAGAAAGTTATGAAGAACATATATTTTCAAGAAGCACAAACACGACAATATTTACAATTAACGAATCTCGTGGGTATCAATCCGTACAAGGTCTCCTCTCTCATTGACTTGCAAGCATTCTTATTATCATTTCTGTCATTAATATCGATGTTTATATATAACAACATGCCTGGGTTTTCTGGTCTCTGTTTTTATTTTCCTTTTTGGGTTTTGTCTTGTTTTTATGCCATTTGTTTTTGTTTATCTTAAAAACATAAGAACGGTTCGTCAAAAAGAAGATTATTTACAACTGTAGTCTGTCCTGAGTCTTATCTTTTTTATTTCTTTTCCTTTGTTTTGATGTTTTGTTCGTGTTTGACTTGGATTTGGTGTGTGGGTTGATGTAATTGTCACTGCACCAACGCTGACACAAACACACCCCCTATTTAACAATTAACAAAATTCGTGTGTGTTTTGAATTAGAGATGGATAGAATCTATCAACCCATCAAAGATAAATAGAGAGATTCTTAGTGCCCATGATTTTTTTCTTCTATTATTTCTAAATTGTATTGCGTGGGTGGATTTTTAAGTGCCTAGGTTTACATTCTTTACTTTACTCCTTTATTGGTTGCCTTGTTTTGGAGGATTTGGGGCTACGCACGAGAGGTCGTCGATCTTTTCTGATTTCTCCATCTGGGTCTTTCGCTGTTCCTCGATTTCCTCATCTGGGTCGGTGAGTTTTTCTTGTTTGTAATCTGGGTGGTTCAAATTTTCTAGTGATTTCTCTTCTTTGTTAAGTCTTTCATTCTATCTCACATCGGTATGGTGAAATTTTTGGATTAGGGCTGTCTTTGAGATTAAAATCATAGTGGCCTTTTTTGCCCGTTTGATCTGGGAACTTGTCGTGAATTTGTGCCTTTTGTTCTTATTGTTGGTCTTCTCCAGTGGTCCCTTCCCTGCAAGTTAGGGTTTGGCTTTGCTGGATAGTATTGGTAAAGCCGTGGTCTTTGGTTTATGGAAGGGGCTCTAAGCAGGGTGCCTTTGGTAATAATGGTTTGGCCTTGGACTCTGCCTTTGATCAGGTTGGTGAAGCTTGGTGGTTTTGATGTAGCAAGTTTAATGGTCTTTTGGTTCTGAGATTAAAGGGAGGAACTTGATTGGCTCTGTATTGGAAAGAAGTTGGTCTTCTGCATTATACTTGTTTGCCTTAGATAAAATGATGTCTCAGATTCAAGGAGCTTCAAAACACACTTGTGGTCTCCTTGCAGTCTTATGTGGGAACACTGAAAATAAATCAAAGCAATACGTATTGGGCGGCAGACCGAGATATCCTTTCCCAGAACTAGTTTCTTCCGGACGTTTGGAGGTGCAATTAACAGTAGTTATTTCATTGACAGTAAAATATGTCTTGGTTTAATGTCTCTCTGTTTAGAGATTTAGCTGATTTTGGGTTGTGTTGCAGTAGTTTTCTTACTGTTCTATTAGTTTATCTGATGCAGGTTCAGACTCTGAACAATCCAAGTACAGATGAGTTTCGTAAAGTCATTGATTCATTTCAGCCAAATTTTGTGTACTTGCAAGGGGAACAGCTTCCCAATGGTGAAATTGGATCTTTGGTGTGGGGAGGTGTTGAATTCTCCACTACTGAAGCCATATCCAGGCTCTTCAGTACTACATTGCCAACCACTGTATGTGACTTATCTCCTTTAGCGTGTTACTGTACTTCATCGTATGCACTTATCTTTTCCGGATCCTTCACTTGGGCTGTATTTATTTTGTGAGTGAAATTTTGGCTTAATTTCTGTTGGCAGATACAACTTGAAGATGTGTCTCTCTCTTATCAATCATTCTTTAAGCACATCCAGCACAAAATACAAAATTTGTTCAACTAGTCCAGCTTAATGGAGTAATGTGATTTTTTCCTTTAATTTTGATGTGGTCTGGTATGAGCTTCATGATCAAATGGAGAAAAATGAATTAATTGTAGTTATAGCGGTTCTGGCCATGCATCATAGTTATGTGGAACAGTTGGTCACTTGTTTGGGAGTTTGTCAGGGTGTGCATCTTGTTTTTGAGTTTTTCAAGGTGCTTTATGGAGATGCGCATTATCTTCCTTTTTGGTTCATACTTTAGGCTCCTCCAGAACGAATTGTATTATCCAAAAGGCATTATTTCTCTTTGGTGATAATTGCTGAATGAGTTTGATGAATTACTTTTTAGAAGTATTGAAGAGAAACGGCATTTTTTTGTAATGCTATGTAGACATAATTTACTGTACTTATCTATACCAATTGTCGGATTAGCAGTGGGCCGAATATTAGATGGGATCCACTGTCAATCCAATGGTAACAATCACTTGTGTTAGCAAACTAGGTGCAAATGGTATTATTGTTTGTCATGATGTAGACTATCAAATGGGGATCAGTGTAAGTTGCAAAATAGTCTTTTTAGGAGTTTGCATATTGTTCCATTTATTTATCTTACTATCTCTTCCTCGTGGCACGGTCCTTTTCTTTTGCTCTTTAAATGTTACTTTAACTATTATCAATCAGTTGTGAATTTTGGCGTTTGATATGATTTGCGTTTTAAATGCTCCTGAAGGTTTATTTGGAGTCCCCAAATGGAAAGAAGTTGGCAGAGGCACTTCACTCTAAGGTAAGAAATGCTGGGTACTTGTACAAATGTTGTTTGGTTAAAGTTTGTATGTGGATTCAGACATTGAGCACCAGAAGCTGAGATGATCAATGTTTTGGATGCTATTTTCTTCTCAAGAATATTGGTTTAGTTTTTATATTTCATCATTGCAGGGAATTCCATACGCAATATATTGGGAGAATGAATTTTCTTGTTATGCTGCTTGCCATTTTCGTCATGCATTATTCTCAGTGGTGCAGAGGTAAGTGTGTAACACACCCGAGTAAGTATAAGCATGGAGTAACTCTAATGCCTCATTAGGCAATGTTCCTGTTCATCCCTTTTTTTTTTGATTTCTTTATCCCTAAATATGTTCCCTTTGGCCTTGGTGAATATAAAATGCGTCAATCTGACTTCGTCATTTTTTGGTACTACACCATTCTATATGTCTACGTTTGTGCATGTCTAGTATTGTGTGTGTATGACATAATTGTATAGTTTTACTTAAAACTGGAAGCGTTAGTTGAGTTGTGTCATATCATGTTATTTCGGATTTGTGTCAAATACTTGTCGGTTTTAACCAAGCTTTTTTAATTAATCATCTCAACATTAACTCGACCTATTTATTAATTGTGTCAACCAAAGTCTATGACTAGGACTTCATTCTCTTAATCAAACCTACCACTCATAAGCCTCCCAAAAATAGAATCCACTCAATTCCTGATGTTAGTAAAATCAAGATAAATAAGCCCTCTAATTCTACAGAGATTTGTATGATAGTAGATCAAGAGATGGAAAAAATATAAAAGCAGATAATAAAATATCACTTCAACAAGTTTGTCATGTCAAAATTGGGTTATTCTTGTATGACACTAAACTTGTTTGTGTCATTTTTGTAATTGTGTTTAACTATTTTCAACCCTAACCTATTCATTTCATGTTGAGTTCATATATATCGAAAATTGCCTTCCGCGTATAAACATGAAAGTTTAAATAGATTAATCATGTTGGCGATTTGGTGAATCGAGGTTGTTTAATTTAGAGTAGTTGGGTAATCTGAGTTCAACATTTTGCTAAATGAACCTAATTTGTGCAGGTCTGCATGAGTTTGCAAGCTTTCTTTTGCACATGCTCATCGAGTGGTGTGGTGTAAGATTGCCCCTGTTTTTGAGTGATTTACCAAGCACGTTATGGATATTGTTTGGGAGCTTCTATAATAGCATTATATATTGGGGACCTCTACGATAACACTTTATTTATTTAAGTGCCTTGATTAGTGGTTGCAAATTGCAATGCATATTGTGTTTGTCTGTTTGGTCTGTGTGTTTGTGCGATCAAGGCATGGACTTTCCATCCTTAGATGAGGATCCCACTAGCATTCACTTCGTATTCAGTGGGAGACATGCATGGTGCTTGTGTACTTGTATGTTTATGCGTGTACAGTATATCCATCCATTTGTGCATTAGAAAAGAAAATTTACTATTTGATAATAATGTCTTTTGTGGATTGTAGTTCATCTTGCCATACTTGGGATGCTTTCCAACTCGCGCATGCATCCTTTAGGCTTTACTGTGATCAAAACAATCTTGTCCTACCTTCCAACACCCAGAAAGTGAATGGTAAGGTGGGTCCATGCCTTCTTGGAGACCTTCCTAAGGTCCATGTTACTCCACCCGAGATAAGTGCAGAAGATGATGAAGAAAGCTGTTCAGGTGCTCTTCCCGCCATAAAGATATATGATGATGATGTGAACATGAGGTTTCTTGTTTGTGGGCTGGCATGCAAATTGGTAAGTTGGGAGAAACATATGTTTTTGGAAAAAAATTTCTGAAGTTTTTGAAGTTCTTTTCAAGCACCTCTTTCAAATACGCATTATATCGTTTAACTAGGATATTTTGGTTGCGGATCAATTTCTTTTCAGGATGCATGCTTACTAGGATCTCTGGAAGATGGCCTCAATGCCCTCTTGAGTATTGAAGTAAGTATTAAGCCTTCAAGCCGCTTACACTTGCCTTCCATTTGGTATAGAAGTAGTAGATTGCAACCTCCTCTAGTGCAAACAAAATGCATGGATTCATTTTGAAATGTAGTATGTCTTAAGAACTATCTAATGGGCGTACTGCTCTTTCAAGGAGAGAAACAACTGATGTTTCCTTCTCCCCCTTTCATACCGCAATAACCCCCACTCCTCTTTTCATCATCTCCTCTGTCAAAGACTGTTCTAAAGAAATTCATTTATTGTCTTATTTGTTGGATAAAGTAACTTGAAGAATGCTGGGTGTGGACACTTCTCTTTCTTCTTTATGTATTTGAATACATATTTGGTGTCTTTTTGAGTAAGAAGAAACAAGAATAAGATTACTTCCTCATTGCTATTATCTGTTTCCTATAGTGTTACTTTTACATGATTGAGTATTTCATTTTTTCCTTTTCCTGTCTCCAATGTTTCAGATTCGAGGGAGCAAACTTCATAACCGGGTTAGGTACGTCTCAGCTTGGGATTATTGAGAGATACATATTGTTTGTTATATTTGTGGTGTTTTGAAGGGATGTTTCTATTACTTAGCCAGTCCAGTTGAATTTTGTTGTTCTAGTTGCAAATATTAATGAATTAGATTACTTCTCCACAAGTTATATGTTTGGAAGTTGATATTTAGCAATTAATATTTAATGGCATTGTTATATGGTTCAGTGCCCTTCCACCACCCCTGCAAGCAGGGACATTTTCTCGTGGTGTTGTGACCATGCGATGTGATTTGTCAACCAGTAGTTCTGCCCACATCTCGCTTCTGGTGTCAGGTAGCGCACAAACGTGCTTTGATGATCAGGTAATTTTGTAGAGATTTTATCTTGATAACCATGTGTTTTCGATTTGAGTGACATGGGCATGGCTAGTGGAGTTTCTAGAACCTGAGTTGTGGTGACCTGTTTGTTCTCAGCTCTTGGAGAATCATATAAAAAGTGAAGCTGTAGAAAAGAGTCAGCTTGTTCATGCACTGCCGTATAGTGAGGAAAACAAACCTCCAATGTCTGAACCTCGGAGATCTGCTTCAATAGCTTGTGGGGCAACAGTATTTGAAGTTTGCATGAAGGTCCCTGCATGGGCTTCACAGGTTATTCAGTTACACTCCTTTTATTTGGTTCATAGTTTCTTATCCTTTTTTCTCCATCTGAATCAACTTGCTTTGTGTACTTGGGTTGCTTAAAGTTCTCCTTCGAATTTCNTGGGCTTCACAGGTTATTCAGTTACACTCCTTTTATTTGGTTCATAGTTTCTTATCCTTTTTTCTCCATCTGAATCAACTTGCTTTGTGTACTTGGGTTGCTTAAAGTTCTCCTTCGAATTTCCTGGATGGTGAAACCTGCAATTTTGTATGAGGGACATCTTTATGTAATATTTGCTCAGGATTTATTCTTCATCTTCTCCCCCTCCTCCTCTTCCTTTTGATTNTCCTGGATGGTGAAACCTGCAATTTTGTATGAGGGACATCTTTATGTAATATTTGCTTAGGATTTATTCTTCATCTTCTCCCCCTCCTCCTCTTCCTTTTGATTGCCTATCTGTGTTCCACATTTGGTTGGGCCAGCTACAAAAAAAGATGTTCAGAGGTAGTGCATGAGGTCCATTCTTGAAGTTTCACCCTAAGTTGTTGGGGGCAGTGACATTATTTTAAGTTTCTCTGAATTATTTTTCTGACACAGAAAAATTGCTCTTAATTTCTCTTGCTTTGATTTTGGATTTTCATCGAGTAATGATTGCCCACTTATCTGATTGCTTATAATGATTGTCTATGCTGTTGGGGCTTGCATTTTTTCAGGTTTTGAGGCAGCTAGCACAAGATGTTTCTTATCGAAGTTTAGTTGCACTTGGTATCGCCAGCATTCAGGGATTATCTGTTGCTTCGTTTGAGAAAGATGATCCAGAGCGACTCCTTTTCTTCTGTAGCAAGCAGGAGAAAGAGATCAGTCTAAACAATTTAAATTTCTGCAGTCCTCCCACCTGGTTGAGACCACCTGCTCCGAGTAGAAAGAGGTCCAAAATATGCCAAGAAACGAACTCTGGCTCTCAAAACGGGTTGGTTTCTGGAAATCAAGGTGCTGCCAACAATCAAGATCGAGAGGAGAAGGAAACTGCATTAACAAGTGGTCTTACCACGCCCTCTGTACCTGCTAGACAGAAACTGAAAGTTGCTGCAATGAGGCCCATACCTCATATTCGTCACCAGAAAATGCTGCCCTTTTCTGGAATTTCTGAGGCAGATGGGCATGATGGAAGCCAAGTGAAGGCTAACTTAGCCCTTTTTCCTTCCACAAAGCAAAGCATTGTTGGACCAAATCCTGTTACCAACCGAAAATCATCTTCAAGTTCATATCAGGCTAAGCAAATTATTTCCTTGAATCCCCTTCCTCTAAAGAAGCATGGTTGTGGGAGAAGCCCAATACATGTTTGTGCCGAGGTGAGTTCATTCTTAGTTGTCCGATCTATCGTTACTAAACTATATTTCTGGGCTTGTACACAAATTTTAGTCTCAAAATGCTTGTGTTTGGAAGTTTAGCATTCTTCTAATCTATCTTGCATGGACACCTCTGGTGGGAAAGTAAAGAGATCACATTCCAAAGTTATGAGTGATTGAGTTTGTAACGAAATGGAATGTTCTTAGTTTACAAATTTGGTAGATGTTCCTCACTAAGATTATAAGTCTTTTCATCCATTTTGATTATAAAATGAGATCTTTGGATAGGGGTACTTCTTGTCTGAATATGCTGATAGAGGCAACTTCTTGCCTACTGTACTTTATGGAACCATCTGTTATTTTCCCTTAATGGTATCAAACAATTAATTGGGTGAGTTGGTGAATCAGATCATTATATCTGATTAACATGGTTGTCCCTGAATCATGTGATGTCATTATGTCAAATTGGCTGTGATGTGACTGGTATGGCGTATGGGCACCCAAATACTGATGACAGTAATGGTGATGGTAATGGTTATAGTGATGCTGATGCTAATGATGATCGTAAGCATTATACATTGCAAAAATAATGACAGACATGAAATAATTGAATTATATGGAACTATCTGATATGAAAAAACAATATTGCTATACGCAATATGCAATTGATAAGTTGGGTGAATGCCTTTCTTTGCTTCGTGTCAGGCTAGCATAAAAGTGTGGATGGATAATATACAAGATGGAGGGTGATTTTCCTTTTTACTACTTGTGGTCTTTTTGTCAAATTCTTTATCAACCAACTGGTGTTTCAAAATTGGAAAATTTCATCGCGAGCACGTATTTGAAATACAAGTGTTCTGCAATTTAGAATAGGTAGCAATCAGTTGGCCCTGATAGGTCTTATTATCTACTTTTGGCTGGCCCTTGAGCATTTGACTGCTGTGTCTGTTAAATTTTCACTTTAGATCTGATTATATTGATTTTGCATTCATCTATTTCACAGGAGGAATTTCTTAAGGATGTTATGCAGTTTCTAATCCTTCGGGGGCATACTCGTCTCATTCCTCAAGGTGGGCTTGCCGAGTTCCCAGACGCTGTACTCAATGCAAAACGCCTTGACCTCTTCAACTTGTACAGAGAGGTGAGCTTTCTCATATCTTTGGTTAGTAGCAGGTTCACCCTGCTGAGGCTGACTGCATGAAACTCTGTATCCGAGGGAGTTGGTATATGACTCTTTTCTCATACTTCAAAGTTTTACCTGTGAGAGACATTCAACATAATGATCAACTTAATGTTGGTTCTTTGCCAGGTGGTTTCAAGAGGTGGCTTTCATGTTGGCAATGGCATCAATTGGAAAGGACAGGTTTTCTCAAAGATGCACAATCACACAGTAACCCATAGAATGACTGTATGGCCCCTAACCTTTCTTAGCAATTCGTTTATTTATTTATTTGTTTTTTCAGATGTAGGCAAGAACCTCAGTTTTTATACTAGGGGAGAATCCCATTCCAGGTCTCGAGTTTGGTAAGGATGGTCCCTTACCAATTGTGGCAACCTTTTGTTTTGCAATTTGTATCTTCCAAAACTCTAATATACATTCTAAGAAGCACGGATACGGATACGGGTGTCATATCTGATACGATACGAAAATGGGGATACGACAAATTAAGTTCCAAAATTTAAGACATGAGTACAACAAGGATATGACTAATAAAATAATATAATATATTTTTTAAATAATGACAGTGTTGTAATATGTTAAAATATAACAATATTAATAATAAGACCTAGCAAATATTAATTTTTTGATTAAAATTGAAATAGATTAAAATAAATATTCATTATTTTCATCAAACATCATTACATTCATTGACATTCATAGTATATAAGTTACATAACAAAATTATATTAAAAAAAAAAACATAAATAACACCTCTGTTA